ATGTTTGTTGTTATGGGTTGTGTTGTCTGTGTTTGTGTCCCCTCCCTCTCTGAGTTCCTGGACAGGTTGGTGCTCCGCCCATCTCTGGCGGAGACTGATGGAGAAGTGGAATCACCTGTGTACGCATGCAGCCGATGAATAAAAGGCCCGGGGTGCAGGCTGCAGAGGGGGGGAAGGGAGACAGAGTCATATGTGTGTGCTGGGACGCAGGCTGCTGGAGTGCCAGATCGTCTCCGTTACAGTTGTTCATAGATTTGTGTACCCTTTGTGGGTGCACCTAAAGCTGGTCATTTCTTGTGCGTTTCCTGTACCATTAAATACAGCGACTATTGAAACCGAACTCTGGTCTCCACCTTGATTCCGGGTAAATATAAATTTGTTGTTCCCCGCATCCCCTAGAACTACGGGGAACGTAACATTTATATACAGATAAAAAAAAAAAGTTAGGGATATATTTGACGGTTCAAACTTGGCAGAAGGAGATTTTTCATCAGTAAACACAACTTACACAAGTACAGGACAAGATCAGCGAAGAGGTAAGAGGTCAAACTTTGTCCCAGGGGATGCTTAGTGTGACACAAAGGTTTTTAGTTGTACGGTGTTAAGCTCTCAGGTTCACAGTCATTTTGTCTAAAAGTGGAAATCATCCTTTGTTTAGCATTTAAAATCAAATGTCATTATGAGGTAAAATAAGTGTATAAAGAAGTTTTTTATAAACATGTTTGCATGATTATTTTCCTAATTTACCTTACACAGATTTACGCCATCATAAGAATTGTTTTGTATCCCAGCTCCATTGGTTCCCAGATGAATCATTCAACAAAAATAGCTATTGTAGCTTTTTTTGAACACTTTATCATACTTAGGGTATTATAAAAACTATCCCTTCATCCAGTGTATCCTCTGGAGTAACTAGGGTTCTTCTTAAAAGCAGGAGATATGGTGACTACACACCATCTTTATATGACTGAAATACATGAAAAAAACTACAACAGGCTGTATAGCTGATATACAAATAGACAATATGAAGTATATTTAATTTCTAAGAACTCAAGGTTATATATATCAATACTGTTTTTTAGTTCATTAATATTTCACAACTGATGTCAAGACAATGCTTTAATTTTTTAGAATGAAATAGAAACAATGTCATGGTGACAATATTGTTGAAAGCAGCAGGTTAACTCTGAGTGTCATCATATAAATCATATGTAAGATAGAAAATATGAGACAAAATGTATTAGGAATAACTATAAAATGTTTAATTATATATATATTACAGAATACAATTATATTGTGTCTTGTTGTTGAGTCTTAATCTGTTGTTTGTGGCCACCTCCTCCCACATACACATCCATAGGGCCCCATTGTACCAGGTCGCCCTGAAATCCTGGCTGCACTAGTTTCCTGTTAGGGGCTGGTGACAGCATAGGGTCAAGTGAAAAGTCAAATAACTTACTTTTTTGTTGAGATAACAGTCTAAAGAAGATACAAATGACATATTTTAATGTTTGGTGTCCTTACTTAAAAAATGACAGACTTTGAGATACATACCTTTTGAATTTTTGTTTCAATTTCCGCCTAAACTACATGTGTGTTTAACTGTGAAAAATTCAAAAATTGAAAATAGTATTGATAAAAACTTTGCTTAATTGTAACTAATAACTATCTGTGAACATCCTGTCCAAATTTGGTGAAATTCTGATTCTGATTCCCAGAGATACATGTGATAAGGCTAGAGCTGTCCCTTCTGGAAAAGCCCTAATTTGACCTATTTTCGTTTTTTGGTAAGATGCATAAAACATCCCAAAAAAAGTTATTTTGCAGTAAAATATTTTTATACAACCATCCGTTTCATAAACTAGACATGTTCAAGTTATGAAAAAATATGGTTGTTCTTTGTTCTACCTCGTAGGGGTCTCTCAATTTTTAGGGGCCCAAGTTCCTCTACTAAGTCCTTGCAGTTGCATATCAGTGCTGATTGTGTGCTTTTGTATTATACACCAGAATAAAAAGGAAAGAGATCCAGACTCACAGCGATATTTACAGAGGACAAGGACGTAACTGAGTTGAACATTGGGGGGGTTGAGATTTCCGCCTGTGAAGCAGGTCTGACGACATGCCCCGCATGACCATTTTTACCTGCTCATCTGAAACAACCCAGTCTCATATCAAAATGTGTAATACCTACGTTGGTCCACAGCGCAAAACGTAGTAGTTTCACAATAAGGGCTCTAACCTGAGATAATGTCCTGTCCCAGCTTTTTACAGGGTGTCTCAGATATGTTGATCATTTTAATTCTTCATGAGAAATTCATTGGATTCTATTTATTGTCAGAAACCACAGGGGAGTGTTTTGTGAACATGACAGGAAATAATGATAGGATATCATGTCGATGTTGCTTTTTTGACTTTTTGTATTTAAATTGTGCCTTGTCAGAGCATACCATTCCTACCTGCTCATCTGAAACCTCTCTTGCTGCTCTCAGCCTGTCTCTCTTCACCTTCTTTGATCTGATACACATTAAAACAATTCATCAAATAATTACTCATTATAATTTCAAATCATACATAGTAGTGATCACACACGGTCACGGCTGATCAAGAGCTCTCCTATTGGCTTTTAGCCTGTCAGCTGAATAGCGAATCTGGCTAACTGGCTAAGACACTGTGTCATAGTACCTGTGCATGTAGTCTAAGAAGTACTAAGTCCAACCATATCAGAATCATGGTCTACTTATGGAAGAATTTTTTTTTTTACAAAACATCAAAGTCAGAAAAAAAAGTAATTATAGTGATTTATAAGCGACTTTGACAGTGAATTTCTCAAAAAGTACACAGTAAAAGTACTTCATATTACTTGTGCATGTAGTCTAGGACGTACTTAGTCCAACCGTATCAGAATCATTGTGTACTCATGGAAGAACATATTTTTTATATTTTTTTCCCAGGAAAACAGTTTTTCTTTTTATTGTGAACACCTTATTTTGAAAAAGTTATCGCAGACTCGCAGTATTATTCTCAAACTAATTTCACCGACCTCCGAAGCTATTCCCTGAACAGTATTTTGTTTGCTCCAGTTTCATACACGTGTATCTCATAGCCAGTTTTATGGTAAGACTGGTGAAGTGTCTGACACATCTGGAAATTAGGTCAGCTCTGTTTCTTATTAAGAATGTGCAAAACGACAGTTTGTAGTAATTATATTTGAGACCAGTGATGTTTTTTGAGTTATCCGGAAATCCTAAATCTACGACAGGAGCCCTCTCAGTTGAATGTGTACAATGGGGCCCCTGTGTCCAGAGAGTTGCCCAGGGACATCTGGACAAGAGATTGTATCTGTGACCTGTGTTGTCCTTTGCGTTCATGACATACATATATCTAAGACAGAAACCCCCGCAGTTGTAGTAAGAGGGGTGTCCTGAAAACACACAGATGTTCCCATGTTGTTCTCCTGTGGGGTGTGTCCATAAATACCAGAGTTTCTGTGTGTTCGGGGGGAGATCACTTTTGGCTGTGTCTCTCCCAGGTCGAACCATGGCGAGCCTGGCGATGCTGTAACTTGTTTTCTCAATAAAATGATCATTATGTAAGCAAGTCAGTGTCAACGGCGAATTTCTTCATCATCAAACATATCAACAAGGGAATCCACATCAATTTTGGCGTCACAAACAGGATCAGTTGGGGCCTTCTGCAGTGGACGAGAGCTTCAGTGTGACCATCCCTCCATCACCTCAGAGCGTGAGTGTTGTTTTTCACACATTGGGGAGCTGATTCTGTCTGAAATTTGGCTCCACTGTCAAAGAACTGAAGTGCAATGATGTGTTGATGTTGGAGTAATTCTCCGTCTAAATTGGGGTTTATTGAGTTAAAAAGTATGTAATTAAAGGGGAATAAAGAAGAGATGAATAAAGTTGAAAGGTAATGATGGCATAAGCGCAACTAGTAACGAGACCAGTTAGCTAAAAAACTATGCAAGTTTAACAAGGACAGGGCCCGTATCCTTTTAACAGTAAGTCATGTGTAAATTAGACACTGAAGTGAAAGTTGGCTTTAAGAAGTAGTCAAATTGAGTAAAAGTAAGACAAAGGGGATCCCTGGCCAGGGAAATTGGAGAAATTAAACGTATAATGTAGGAAATACAGAGATTAAATAAAGATGAGAAGTAAAAGATGAAAAGTGAAGAGAAGAAATAAAAATGGAATAAAGTTTTGAGAAAAGTGGAAAAATAAGCGCTGAACAAAGGAAAAAAGTGTGCATTGAAGCATGCAGTGTGAAGTAATCTGTTAAAAGACAGTTTGTTAAAAGTTTGTCCAAAGTAAAACATTTTTGATAGAGGGAAAATTATAAATGAGTCGACTTTAAAATTTGAACTGAGGCGCGGCTGTTCTTGGAATGTGTGTGCGCTCGCTCTATACAGCCTGAAGTGTTTGTGTGTGTGTGGCTGCTGGACGGTCTCTGTCTCTGTCTGTGTCTTGTCTCTTGTGTTGTGATTTGGATGTGTTTGAGAGGTCTGTGTGGTGTGAAGATGTGTATTTGATCCGGAAATGTTCTTGTATATGTGTGATCGATAAATAGAATAGATGTATTATTAAATAGGCATATATAGCAGGAGATTGGATGAAGACGATTTTAGTAACTCATAAGAGGGGACATTTTTGCTTCATCATTGTTAAAAAACCCATGAGCCTTTGTTTCAGAGGACGTTTATATATTCGATTTGATAAAAATATGAGCCCCTCAGAGGATGTTTGTTTAATCTGATAAATACACATGAGCCTAATAAAGGACGTTTATACATAACATAAGTATATATAGTATCTGTTTTTAACAGAAGTGGAGAGACCAGCGAGGATAGTCTGTACACATTCAGGTAGCAAGATTTGAGAACTCACTCGTAGATGCTGCGTGATGGGAGGGGCAGCAGGTTAGACAGGTGTTTAAACCTCTAAACAACGAGATCACTTCCGCTTGTCACTCATTTTATAGAATGGGGCCCCTTGTACTTCTCGTCTCTTTTTCTCTGCTGCATTTATGTGCTACACAAGGTAAGAACTTTATGTATGTTTCCTGTTGTTGAAGTGTCTTTTGTAAATATCTGTACTTCTACACGGCTTTAATGATAGTTAGATCTAACAATGTAATCTGTTTTTTCATTAATGCAACACTGAGAGTTTATACAAGGCCTTCATACTTTAAACTGAGACATAATGATTGTTATTGTCAGCGGCTGGTCAGTGGATTGAATGTAAATAATCAAAGTGAAAGACTTTAGAGTTTGTGATCACTGAGTGAACTGGAGATGTTAAGACTTCCATTAGTGTTTCTACAGTTTGAGTAGCTGTATAGTAGTTATAGTGAAGATAAACTGTTCTTTTATCCTGATACATAAAACTTGAAATGGAAAGTATAAAAAGTGACTAAGTGTGTTATAGCTGAGGGTCAGGGTACAGAAACCATCGAGGTCATTTTCATATTATTACCTTCTCTTCACATTGCAAACTTCCTAAACGGTCTCCACACAGACTCTGTGAAACAGCGCTGCGTCACAAATACTTTACATACCATAGAGGACTCTAAATGCACGCTCCTCTTTTCTCTTCCATGACGTGCAGCAGGAGCAGTCAGAGATACACACATGTCCAATAATGAACAGGCTGATTATATTAAGTTTCTAATACTGTTAAAAGCTAAATCAGGAGAAAACTTGTTTTGAGGATTAATAATTCATTTTTCTCTGATTGATTTTTGCTTTTAGTCTGTAATGTTGTAATGCAGGGACGGTTCGGGGGGGGGGGGGGAGTCTGGAAACTACTGCCTTTTACAATTTCTCAATTTCCTAATCTGATGACATGATCAAATCTGTGACTTAAATGTGTTATTGATTAAACAGAACATAATGCCTCCTCAATTAAATGTACTGTAACAGATGTGTATAGGACACAAAAACAAAATTTGTTATTTTGGCCGGTAAAAAAATAGATGTATAATGTTTGGGCGGTGAATGTTTTCATCTGCCGGCCATCTTGGACGGTGAGTCAAAAAGTTAATTTCGGACCCTGGGCGGTAGTAACATCAGTAGGGACCTAGGTTGTATGGGAGTTCATCTGTTGGAGACGTTCCAGGTCTCTTTCCGGCCAAATTACTCTGATCCCTCAAGCTACTTACAGCTTTCATCCATGTGTCCGCAGGCTTCACAAAATCCCTGTGCACATACATCCTTACATCCCATCATCCTTTCCTCTACCCTTCCTTCACTCTTTCACACAAACCCGACTCCAGTTAGATTCAGTTCTGACCTTTTATTATCACTGAAAGCATCGTACAAGAGCACAGCAGATAGTGACATACGACGTGCAACACAACCTGACAGAATACTAGAGAAAGGAAAATATTATTGTACGTTAAAACAATACAAAGAACATTAATTACAATAGGAATATATAAAAGTTGTATCTGCTTCTGCTCCTACTGCTCACTCAAGCAGCTGCTCAGGGAGCCTCAACACCTAATCAAGTCAGCTTTCTTCATCCTCTTCCAATTCAAACTGATCATCCCCTAACAGCTATGACGCGCTCCCTGTGTTTCAGTCCCACTCTGACATCTCTCTATTAGTGCACGTTCAAAGGTCCTGTTTGTGCATGTTTGTATTTCTGGCCTTTGTGTGTGAGTAGCATGTCTCAATATCAGAGTGTAAATTAAAGTATATTAAAACATTCATTCCTGTTTTAGGTTTGTATTTTTAACCTTCAGTCAGGTGATCATTTTCTGTGTTTGTCAAGAACTTTAAAATACAAGTAAACAAGTGATACATTGTTAACATGGAAATATTGATTTAAGTTGTTTTTTAATCATACACATGATTTTTATTTCTCTTCTCTCTGCAGTGACTCCTGTGTTTGTGCAGACAGGAACAGATTTACTTCTGGAAGTGAAGGAACCTGTTGTTCTGAAGGAGGCAGATTTATTTACATGGAATGTCAATGGCAGTGATAATGCTGTGAGACTAGTTCATGGTGGTAAACCAACCATTTCCCCAAATTATACATCTAGAGTAGAATTGTCTGCACAAACTCACTCTCTACTGTTAAAGAACGTACAAAAGGAGGACAGTGGAGTTTACAGAGCACGTGTTTCTGCTGATAATAACTCAGATGTAGCTGAATACAGCGTCACAGTTCTGGGTACGTTTCTTTAATTTGAAAATGTTGATACAGAGTCGTTCCCTGTTTTAAAAAAAGTCATCACACTTGCTTTGCTTCCTGCAGATCCAGTGTCTGGAGTGAAGCTGACAGTGAAACTCTGCAGCTCAGACTCCACTAAGGTCACAGTGATCTGCAGCACTGAGGACTCTCTCATCAGCAGCACGTTCACATGTGACACACAAACCTGCTCTCACGAGGGAGGAGAGCGAGCAGAGATCATCACACCTGGTGCTTCTCTGGACGTCTACCTGGAGAACGGCTCAGTCATCTGTAACCATAGCAACCAGGTCAGCTCGTAAACAGACAGCCAAAAGATTGAAGATCTTTGTAAAGGTAAGAGTTAAAAACTACAATTTAACGCTTATAAACAGTGTGGATTGTAACCTAAATAAAAAACAACAGATGTTTTTGTTGTTGTTGATGAAACAATGATATAAATATTCTCCATTGTGTTTCAGCTGTTGGTAGGAGATCATTTTGTTCATAAATTCTGAAGAAATAATTTCAGCAGAAACATTGTCATGATTTAAGACTAATCAGTGATAGTTTGTTAATCAATTAGCTTTAAAAAAAATATTTTTTACAACATTTAAACAACACACACAAAATATAAACTTACACATGACAGACCATTAACAAAAACCACAAGAAGAAAACAAAGACCAAACCAGTCATCATGTTCATCATTCTTCTAAACATGGCCTTAGTGCGATCCATCTCATTTCAGTCATTCATTGTTCCCTCTCTGTTTGTGATTACGCCCTCTAACCTATAAAATGAAATGAAGCAGAGATTATTTGACATATAAATGGACTAGCATTAATTGTTTAAAAGCTAAAAACTGTCAATGAATTAATTTTATGAGATTCAGATGTGTTATTAATCCCTGATGGTCAATTCAGTCACACAGCCTTTAGAGTCTTATTAAAAGAAGTCAAGACAAAGTAAAGAGTTACATTTACATGCCAGTAACAACAGGTCACCAAAGGAGATAACAATCTATTTAAAGAAATACAATGTCAGAAATGTCTAAGGTGATCCTTAAAACCAGGAGGTGACTATCCTTCCATGTAGTTTTAAATTGTGACTTTAGGGCACCATCCATTCAGGGTTGATTAGACCAATTTCATATTTTACTACAGATCAGGTCTGTGAGATTGAGTGGTTATAGTTCACTCTCAGGTATGCTGCAAGAGTTCAGCCAAGTATGAATTTCTAATCTGGCTTTTTTTTTTCTTTACAGCATCGAAAGGCAGCCAAATAATTTACTGATTGTTGTAGCCATCGTCGTATCTCTTCGTGTTGTTTTGGCTATAATTTGAATTCATCATCGAAGGAGAAAACAAAGTAAGTTAAGTTTGCATTTAAACTGAATTTAAATGTGAAATCAGAAAATCCTTATTGTTTACATCAAACTGAATTGACCCTTTAGATGAGTACATTCTTCTCCCCTGTGTTGATGTTTTTATTATCATTCAAAAGACGTCCCTTATGAGTGAATCCTCTTATCAGGGCGATCTGATAAAGACAGCGCAGCAGTTACACTTAGAAGCCACACCTTAGAGTTAGAATAAATAAACAATTTACAATGTTAACAAAATAAATCACATGTAAAGAACTTTTAAATTCACATGAATTTACAATATTTGAGGATGGCAATTCAAAACTGTTTATCATTTACAAACAATTAAAATGAGGCCCCATTATAAAATGTTTATGCATTTTGATTGCATTCATTACTATTAATAAATTAACAGAATACATTTTTCAATGTAGAAAAGTGACTCTCAAAATCACACCAAATAAATCCAGAACAGAATCAGCTCCAGTAATGTTAATGTAGTTTCAACATGTTTCTTTATGACTGATCTGCAGATAAAGCAGAGAACATGGAAAATACCGTCTATGAAGATCCTCAGGTAAGGAGGAATATTTTTTAATACCAATTTCCCAAATTAGTCAGAAGTGAAGAAATTCTTGAACAAATTAATGATTGAGAACTGATGTGAAGAGACAGGCCAGAGACATTACTGTTTTCAAATTCCTCACTAGCTCTTGTTTTTTGAAACTTGTTTTCCCCTCATTTTTTGCAACTTCACAAAAGTGGCGTCTTTGCAAAAACAACAAATGCAGGTTCTGCAAGGTGCTGTGGGCTCAAAAGTCTGTGTACTATTATTGAGATCAGGCCAGTGTTGAAAATAAAGCCCATGTGGAAGTGCCCAAAACTGCAGCTCCTGAGGGCTGACAAATACCCATTTCCACCCCATATTAAAATGTCCGTTTGTACTAAGTGCTGACAGGCTGGTATAAAGAAAACCACAGCTCATTTCTAGATCCATGACGACTTCTTCCCAACAGTTGTAAATGTATTAAACCTTTGAAGTTATGGGGTGTTGTGGTTCTGTGTTGCAGGTTGAACCGAATAGCTTTCTGATCGACATCAAACCAGCAAATTCAGTCACAGAACTTAAAGGGACACTTCACCCGTTGAAACATGAATCTGTATTGACATTGGGTCATATATGTTGTAGAAATGTGAAATACATTTTGAAGTTGGTGCCTTCTTGGCAGAAAGGCAGAAAGTGACTTTTTGGCTCATGTGGATGAAAGACACCAAATCCCAGAATGCACAGCACCACAGGCCACTCCCACTAAGGTCCTCTAGTTCAGAATCAGAAATACTTTATTAATCCCAGAGGGAAATTCATCATACAGTTTCTCCAAAATATAAGTATAGCAGTAGAAATAAAGTAATAAAAACATTTACAGACATATTTACTTCAACACATAAGACCATTTCCTCAACTGATTCAGAGATTTCTTCCAGAATTGATCTTGGAAATTCCTGACAGAAAACAGACTCTATGTCTGTGTCCATAGACAAACAGTGAGAGCACCGACACTACCAGTCCACCCCAGCTCGAGCCGGCCCGGGGTCCTCGTCCTCACCGCCGCCGACAGGCAGGCCTTATGTCTCGGCTGCTGAGCTGGCAGCGGCCAGCGGTCTTGTGTCGCGGCGGCCCCAGCGCCTAGCGGTTAGCAGCCGTCTCGCCGCTATATTTGTATTTTCTCGCCATTATCAGCTTTCTCCATAGAGCCTGTTAGCATAGCTTCCAATCAATATGGCGGACGTTAAGTTTCGATTCTGGGAGTGAGTTCTCACCCACTGATCTGTGATTGGTCTGTAGCTTCAGTGGTTGAAAATATGAGGAACTAGCGTTGTAGTTTCACACCGCTAGCAGCTTCCAGTGACACAAAAATCGTCATTTTGCGTCACTGGAAGCTCTTTTCAGACTCAGAAATACAAAGATTTCCCATCTCAGGGGAAAATGAGGGCGGGATGCACGGCCATTCAAAAACACTACCAGGTTTCTAATGATACAAAGATTAATGCAAATGGGTGAAGTATCCCTTTAATGACCTGACTGTAACTGAGTCTTTGTGGGATGTTTTCTCAGTCACAAATCGGACAAATAATGTAGCAGTAGCTTTCTGTGATAAATTGTACTAACATGCTTTTCAAGAAGTCTGGACTGAAGCAACAGTTTTTATCTTCTCACTTAATATGAAGGATTATATGTCTGTTAAGGAGTTCATGGGCTGTTATTTATTTCAGTGCTAATACATTATAATAGCCCAATTTGAAAATCGCATATCAAATAGCAAAATAACCATTCTTATGTTGTGTGTTAAAGTGAATACAGACCTCCCTCTGCAGCCGAGACCAACAAATGATGCCCCAGCTGGTCCTCCACCCTACATCTACTCCATCGTCTCTGAAGCACCCACTCAGCCCAGAGACAACGCTCAGCCAGAGAGCCTGTATGCAGAGGTGTAAAAACTTCCAAAGTCCTGAAACAGTTCACTATGATGTCTTCAACACACTTCTCTTGCAGGAATGATCACTTTAGTTTAGTTTAGTTTAGTATCAGTGAAGGACTTCTGACTGCGTCTTCTTTTTCTGTGCGTTGGTCGTTGACTAGCTACTTGAGTCATGCAATGAAGTTAAAAGACCCAACTACAGTCAGATTGCTGATTTTATTATGAATTATAACAACAAGCACCTTCTGACTGGAATCATTTGCCAGATAACCTGTGAACAATTAACTTTTCTTTTAAAAAATGAAATCGCCCTTCCACTGCTTCCAACCCTAATGTCTTCCTGCTCCCTTAATAAGGAGGCTTCTGATTGTACAGTAATCTTTGTAATTACCGTCATTGGTAAGTTTGTCAATACTTATAATTTATGATGTTGCAGGTGAGAGGCTCAAATGTCTGCAACAAAACAGTTCTTGTTTCTATTTGAAGTCCAAATGGTATTATTCATCAGCAGATTTAAATGTACATTCATTGATGAATACCCTCTTGAGATGAATCATCTCGTTTTCAAGGGAGGTCCAACCCACCAGGGCATTAATCCTGTATTGCCACTCCACCCACACAACGTAAACAGGCACGAGATTTCACATCACATATTAACTAATAACATTATATGTTTATAGAGATCATTTATGTCACATGCTATATGGAGACACCTTTGCTGTTAACAATCAGGTGACACATACAATAGAACTGTTTTGATGTAGATATTTTATTTTTAAAAATTACTTTACTGTATATATTTCAAATGTTACGATCTATTTTTTTTTACATAGTTTTATTGCTAATTTCTGTTTTGGCTAATATTTGATCATCTTGATGCTTCTTATCAAATGTTTCTTTAAACCTTAATGTGAATAAAGTCTTTTTAATTTAAAGCTACAGTGAGGATCTTCTGGTTTGTGTCAACCTTATAGCACCTTGTGGATAAAAGAAAATAAAAGAAATCTAATCCAGCTTTTATTTTAAAGCAAATGTATCACTCAACATGAACATTTATCATGCAGAATGTAAAAAAGGTAAGTTTGGCCTGACACCTCCTCCATAGTGACTTGTCCATGATGATCTCCTCAGCTTGTGTAGCTCATAAAGAGGCTTCAGTATTATTCTCAGTCTGTTACATAACCAGTTAATAACTCCTCACAGGAGCTTTAACAGACATTTAAAGAATGAGTGAATAAGTTTACTGCTTCACTGAACTTCATGTCAGCAAAAAGAAACAATAAAGTGAATTAACACCAAACACATCAAACTCTCTCACCTATTAGCCATTATCCATCCAATATACCGACGAGTACAATATATTTACAATGCTTTTGTTATTACTGAGGGTCCAGAAAGGAGGCTTCACATCATATTATAGAGTAAGAGTTTATTACTGAGGGTCCAATATGATGCTTGGACAAATACTGTGAAATATAATGGATTAATATTTTATAATTATCATTAATAATATTATAAATAGGACAAATGACATTACAAATATTGCATTTTATGTTTTTCTACAGACAACATCCTCAAAAACCGTTTTACATCAACTCTGAGCAATGAATGTATTTACAAGAGGCCAAGGTAAACAATTTAATTCAAGAAATAAAATCATTTTGCCCTGTGATTAACTGGGAACAGTCCAGGGTTTACCCCGCCTCTCAGCCAATGACAGCGGGGATCGGCTCCAGCCCCCCCGCCCGCGACCCCGAATAATGGATGGAGGGAAATGATAGCATTGTGTGATGGATGAACTGTGTGTATAGTAAAGAAACAATGTGATTGCTTTATATTTACATACATTTTATTGATTAAAAAGGTCTTTATAATATGTCTATGAAGCTTTACAAAAGTGCTGAGTCACTTCTATCCTAATAAACTTTATAAGTCAAAGCAGAATTGTACAGGTATTTTTACTCTCTTTATTATTTGCATCCATGTTTGCTGATATTCTTCCTCTGCCTCCTCAAACTACATTTCTCTGTGTTTTACCGCCACCAACAGTCCATCAGTGGAATAGCATGAAGTCTGTGAAATAAGTGTGTATATACCACCGTGCCCCCTGCAGACTCACATACACACAGCTTAAACACAACAAGGTCACACATGTTCAGTCAAAAAAAGATAACAAGTCGCTCCATTGTGCTACTAGTGGTCAAACTCTCCACAGAGGATTGTTGGGGGAGAGGTGGTTGTTTATTTTTTCTTCTTAAGCTTCTCTATGTTGGGCCACGCAGGCTTAAGACAGGCAAACAATGGACTTGGGCCTGCATCTCTGTGAGAAGCCTCATTTGAGTTATTCACTGAGATCACAAAAAGACCTAAAGGACTGACTCTCTCAGTACAATCAGTTCAATAAAGTGATTCGTTCACCGAATCGTTCAGTACTTCTCTGCAGCTCTGTCTGTGAATCAGAATTTATATATATATATATATATATATATATATATATATATATATATATAAAATACATATAATTGTACAGAAACAAAGCTGCCAATAAACTTTAAACTGTACACATTATGTGACTGAATATAATTTTATTTTCTGCCAGTGTTTGATATGGACAACCACTGTGCTATGTGCTCGACCTCAAAGCCCCCAGGATCAGGGCCTGAAATGAATACTCAAATGTTAATTTTTACAGTGTTTAATAAAAGTTTATACAGTGACAATAAGAGGTTATGAGAGGATTCTAGATTTAAGTTTAGTCAGTAAGAGGACAAAGGATTTCCAAACTGGTTATGGTTTTCCACCTTGAAACAGGGTTATTGACTCTTCAGAATCAGAATAAAAACACAAGATCTCCTGCTGACAGCTTAAAAAGAACAAGATAGAAATATAAAAAGCAATAAAAAATATATAATAGAATATAAAACACAAAATGTGCAATGGAGGAGTTGTGCAGATGTGCATGATTTGCAGTCTAAAACAGAGTGCAATGTAAACAGAAAATATAGAAGTCCAGTGAGCGTTAATGTAACGCATCAAATCAGTTTCAGCCTTCACATTACTGTCGTGTACTGAGCTCAACTGTACTTTTGACACAAACAGGCAGCACTTCTATACAGTGATGTTCCTAAATCAAAATTTGGTCGCATAGGCTGAATGTGCGACATTTTACACATACTGTAAATATAGCAGAAATCCAGTATATCCTCTGACACCAACAACTATCCACAATCCCAATCGTTCACTCTTGCATGTTGGAGTTTTTCTTCATCCATGGCTAGGCACTGCTCATGGTACCATCTTTCGCATGTGTCACACTGTTTCTGTAAAATAAAATGTGCAAACCTTTATCAACTTGTCAGGAATAGAGAATCTTGTGCAATAGAGAAACATTTCTAGTTATAGGTGTCACAGAGTTAGAATGAACCTCTTTTGAATTTCTACAAAAGTAATGTGTCTTTCATGTTTATGTTACTTTGTCTGGTGGTCTAATAGCGCAACTGTAGGGCTCCTAGCTGGCCACCGTACATACCTCAGCAAAGGAATCTCTCCTGAGCTGAAGGTGGGTGTGTGTGTTTAGTGCTGCGACCAACATATCAGTTTGTTTACATGCCGAGCTAATGCTAGTTAGCTTAGCAGTTAGCTGCTTCCTCGTGGCCGTGATGCGCACGTGTGCGTGTTGTTGTGTTATACAGGTGTGAGTCCTTGCAGTTGCATATCAATGCTGATTGTGTGCTTTTGTATTATACACCAGGTAGGCATGGTTAAGTTAATTTTACCTAAAAAGTGAACTGTAAATTCATGTTGTTTGTGTTAATTGTAAAAAGCTATAAAATGCACTTCATTGATGGTTACGTGTTTAAAATGATTTGGTATGTTTATTGTTATGGGTTGTGTTGTCTGTGTTTGTGTCCCCTCCCTCTCTGAGTTCCTGGACAGGTTGGTGCTCCGCCCATCTCTGGCGGAGACTGATGGAGAAGTGGAATCACCTGTGTACGCATGCAGCCGATGAATAAAAGGCCCGGGGTGCAGGCTGCAGAGGGGGGGGAAGGGAGACAGAGTCATATGTGTGTGCTGGGACGCAGGCTGCTGGAGTGCCAGATCGTCTCCGTTACAGTTGTTCATAGATTTGTGTACCCTTTGTGGGTGCACCTAAAGCTGGTCATTTCTTGTGCGTTTCCTGTACCATTAAATACAGCGACTATTGAAACCGAACTCTGGTCTCCACCTTGATTCCGGGTAAATATAAATTTGTTGTTCCCCGCATCCCCTAGAACTACGGGGAACGTAACATTTATATACAGATAAAAAAAAAAAGTTAGGGATATATTTGACGGTTCAAACTTGGCAGAAGGAGATTTTTCATCAGTAAACACAACTTACACAAGTACAGGACAAGATCAGCGAAGAGGTAAGAGGTCAAACTTTGTCTCCAGGGGATGCTTAGTGTAACACAAAGGTTTTTAGTTGTAAGGTGTTAAGCTCTCAGGTTCACAGTCATTTTGTCTAAAAGTGGAAATCATCCTTTGTTATTAGCATTTAAAATCAAATGTCATTATGAGGTAAAATAAGTGTATAAAGAAGTTTTTTATAAACATGTTTGCATGATTATTTTCCTAATTTACCTTACACAGATTTACGCCATCATAAGAATTGTTTTGTATCCCAGCTCCATTGGTTCCCAGATGAATCATTCAACAAAAATAGCTATTGTAGCTTTTTTTGAACACTTTATCATACTTAGGGTATTATAAAAACTATCCCTTCATCCAGTGGATCCTCTGGAGTAACTAGGGTTCTTCTTAAAAGCAGGAGATATGGTGACTACACACCATCTTTATATGACTGAAATACATGAAAAAAACTACAACAGGCTGTATAGCTGATATACAAATAGACAATATGAAGTATATTTAATTTCTAAGAACTCAAGGTTATATATATCAATACTGTTTTTTAGTTCATTAATATTTCACAACTGATGTCAAGACAATGCTTTAATTTTTTAGAATGAAATAGAAACAATGTCATGGTGACAATATTGTTGAAAGCAGCAGGTTAACTCTGAGTGTCATCATATAAATCATATGTAAGATAGAAAATATGAGACAAAATGTATTAGGAATAACTATAAAATGTTTAATTATATATATTACAGAATACAATTATATTGTGTCTTGTTGTTAAGTCTTAATCTGTTGTTTGTGGCCACCTCCTCCCACATACACATCCATAGGGCCCCATTGTACCAGGTCGCCCTGAAATCCTGGCTGCATTAGTTTCCTGTTAGGGGCTGGTGACAGCATAGGGTCAAGTGAAAAGTCAAATAACTTACTTTTTTGTTGAGATAACAGTCTAAAGAAGATACAAATGACATATTTTAATGTTTGGTGTCCTTACTTAAAAAATGACAGACTTTGAGATACATACCTTTTGAATTTTGTTTCAATTTCCGCCTAAACTACATGTGTGTTTAACTGTGAAAAATTCAAAAATTGAAAATAGTATTGATAAAAACTTTGCTTAATTGTAACTAATAACTATCTGTGAACATCCTGTCCAAATTTGGTGAAATTCTGATTCTGATTCCCAGAGATACATGTGATAAGGCTAGAGCTGTCCCTTCTGGAAAAACCCTAATTTGACCTATTTTCGTTTTTTGGTAAGATGCATAAAACATCCCAAAAAAAGATATTTTGCAGTAAAATATTTTTATACAACCATCCGTTTCATAAACTAGACATGTTCAAGTTATGAAAAAATATGGTTGTTCTTTGTTCTACCTCGTAGGGGTCTCTCAATTTTTAGGGGCCCAAGTTCCTCTACTAAGTCCTTGCAGTTGCATATCAGTGCTGATTGTGTGCTTTTGTATTATACACCAGAATAAAAAGGAAAGAGATCCAGACTCACAGCGATATTTACAGAGGACAAGGACGTAACTGAGTTGAACATTGGGGGGGTTGAGATTTCCGCCTGTGAAGCAGGTCTGACGACATGCCCCGCATGACCATTTTTACCTGCTCATCTGAAACAACCCAGTCTCATATCAAAATGTGTAATACCTACGTTGGTCCACAGCGCAA